GCTATTTTCGCGTCTGGACTTCAGGGGGGGGGAGAGGCATTTGTCGGACCTATCTATAAAAAAACACGTGATACATATTTAGTACATGAACTCGATGGCGCAGGTGATTAGCAAAGTCGTCCTGCGATCGTGGAATTGAAGCAACTTTTGCAATGGCCGGTCATTTGATGGGTGGGTGACCAAAACTATTATCTTGAGCTTTTCTGTGCTTCGGAAGGCACGTTAGTACCGGCTTCATCTGTAGTCGTTAAAACCCACCACGGGTTGATGGGTGGGTGGTGGTGGGTCACGGCCCAATATTCCTATCTTATCCATATAGGAGGCCTGTGGGGTGCCAGGACATTAATACCCTTTTATCGATATTTAGCACAGGCGAACTGTGATGAATGAGGTACCACCAAATTCATTAAAAGGTACCTCTTTTGGAACGAAGTTCCTAAAGAGGTATTTATCGCGCGTTGTGAAAGGGGGCTAGACGGAAAAAATTCTTACGAAAAGTTGTCACGACACTTTTTGCTATAGTAAGCTATTGTAAGCTGTGCGGCGTATTATACTCCCGTAATATGTGTGAAGTTAAAGGGAGTGGTAGAGTGACTGGGGTGCATCACTGAAATATTGTGATATTACACCAACACTGAATATGTGTGAAGTTATAGGGAGTGGTAGAGCGACGAGGGTGCATCACTGAAATATTGTGATATTACACCAACACTGAATATGTGTGAAGTTATAGGGGGTGGTAGAGCGACGAGGGTGCATCACTGAAATATTGTTATATTACACCAACACTGAATATGTGTGAAGTTATAGGGGGTGGTAGAGCGACGAGGGTGCATCACTGATATATTGTGATATTACACCAACACTGGATATTTGTGAAGTTATATCAAGCTGTGGACCAGTAACGCCTGTGAGACATGATTATGATTACAAGGTGAGTACTTATCAGGAGGACGGGGGTGCATCACTGGATTATTGTGACATTGTAGTTTATTCTAAACTGTGGGCCAGTCCTGCCTAGCATCCTTTACGAACGCTAGCGGGACATGATAATAAGGTGCGTATGTAGGGGGTGGCACAGCTACGAGGGTGCAGCACTGGAATATTGTGACATTACACGAAATCTGGATATTTGTGACGTTATACCGAGCTGTGGACCAGGAACGCCTGTCATCTGCTATAAACTTAAGCTAGACATGATAACAAGGTCAGTACTTAACAGGGGGTGACAGAGCGACGGGGGTGCAACCCCAAATTATTGTGGCATTATACCAACACTGGATTATTGTCGTATATTATACTAAACTGTGGTTAAGTCCAGGGGGGTGGCAGAGCGACGGGGCTGCATTACTGGATTATTGTGACATTGTAGTTTATTATAAACTGTGGGCCAGTCCTGCCTAGCAATCTTTACGAACACTAGCTGACCGAACTGAAAAAAATGTGATAGTAAAACCGTAAGAAAAAATCCGTGGAAAAAAGTGCGTGGAATAAAACCGTTAAATGCTCATTAGCCGAAGGAACTTCGTTCCTACCTGGTGTCCCACGACACCACATAATTTTTTTTTATTACGCAGGCAAAACCTCTACTTACAGACGTTGGCGCCCTTAAGCACACCAATGAACGGACCTTACACCTAGACTCTCTCAAGTCTCAAGGGTGTGAAACGGATAAGCAGTTAAGCAGTCCGCGCGGCTTACGAGCGCTTACGGCATAATATCCGCTAAAAACCCTGTGAATACCCTCTACGCTGTTAAGTGCGGAACCGCGAGATCCCCGTTGAGGGACTTCACCGCGTCTGCTATAGCAATTCTAGAAATTAACTGGAAAATTAGAATTCTGGGAAAATTGCAAAATATCACTACAGAATTTCCTACATTCTATGAACGCAAATAATGTGTATGGGTCGAAATCGCCAAGGTGCCGAATTTGGAAATGCGATATTTTGTAAAAAATTTGACGCCTTGGAAATCCAAAAAGTAACTTACAATATACACGTATAAGCTTTCATTAATTGCCCTGTAATAGAGCACGCAAAATATACACATTATTTTAAACTAGCTGTTTATTAGGGATATTTTCTCACAGTAAAACGTAGCTTATATTTTAATCTAGGGTGTCATACCAATTTTATTAAAATCGCTCCAGCCGTTAAGACGTGCAGAAGTAACAAACATACACACTCACAAACTTTCGCCTTTATAAAATTAGTGTGATAATCGTCGGCCATTTTGGACGCCAATATAAGACACTGACGGAAATAGAACAGCATTATTTTAATGGGATTAAGACTAATAATAATTATCTTCATTTATCGTTATGTTGAGGATTTCGAGGCGTTCCAGTTATGATGTTCTATTGATGATACAGTACCCTTAGCACGAATCAATATCAAACTCGAATAGTTTGCGAGTGCGAAATGTCATTGTCAAATGTGTACTGATTTTTAGTTTTCGTTACGACCGTTTTGGCGCTGATGTTTAAGTTTCCATACAAAACTTGACAATGACATTTCGCACTCGCAAACTATTCGAATTCGATAATGGTTCGTGCTAACGGTAAGGTACAAAAATTCACAACTGAAATAATCTTATCAAGAAAAAAAAACACCATAAAACAGCTTAACGCTGTGTACATTCGAAAAATTTCAATACGCAAATGCACAGTAGCGATTTGTTTGACTTAATTTGGGCATTACTGTTTGACACAAAAGAGTGTGACCTACAGACTGCCGGACAAAGTTATACGTAAGATAAATTTTAAGATACTTTTTTTATTTATAGTTTTAATTATGCCACTTTAATAATAAAACTGTTTCAAACATGTCAGAAAATTTTACTTTTCAATTAGTATTTCATTGTTTTATAAACATTTAAAATACGTAAATGCGTGTTGGGACACATTCCTAAAACGATATTTTGACTGGTTTTTTAGGAAAAAAGATATACATCTTTTTAGATAAAACGATTAAGGGTTACTTAAGATAAAAAAATAACTTTAGATATTTAAAAATATTTGTGACCCCACTATTTCAAGGCTTTATTAGAAAAAATGGTGTCAGAATCAAATTTGAAACCTTGATGATTATGACCCATACGCGTGAATTATGAATTATGGGAGTTTTTGCTACCATTATAATTACGGACAAATTCTATTGGATGCTATAAATATTAATGTTATGTTATTTGCGTTTCTCTCTCTATTACCCGTACTTCCGACTGATAAGATAACGGCTCCCGATGTTGTTACGTTATTATCATTATAATTATTTTAATTTAAGATTTTTTAATGTTTATTTGAATAAAAAAAAAATACATTCTTAACTAAGTATTACATTACAGAGGCAGTTAAGTGAGGTTGATGAAGAGAGTAAACTAAAGATTGATTTTATATTAAGATTCTCTTTTCTTCTAAAGACATCTCGAGAAAAAGTTTATCTCTTAATTCGTTTATCCAAGTCAAAACCAGCTTCTGCGCCAATCGTGACGCGTGACGCGGTAACTGGCGAACTCGGGCGCTTATCTGCGCGTGGCATGAATCAAGGTGCGCGTGAGTGGCAACCTGCGCTTTGGCATCTAAAGAATTACCTCCCTATCCTAACGGACGTGAGGAAAGTAGATAGGGCTTGGGTTATATTCTGAAATGTAATTTAATCAATATTGACATAACATCCGCTTATGTTATTAATAAATACCTATAAAAAACGAGTGTGCTTATGACCACACGACTGAAGTGAAACTTCTTTAGCTCCATCTGTATATACGTATATATATATATATATATATATATATATATGTACAACATATACATGTATGCACATATACATAATTATTTCATTTACTAGCTATAAGAGAAAGAGAGAAAGAAAATGTGCGCGCGCACTGCTTTCTCTTGCATAGATCCCCCACTCAACTCCCGTTCGCCTCGCTACATTTTTTGTAACGCGTAACGCATTCGCCAGCTTACCCCCCCAAGTCAAGCGTGTGTAAAGAAGTTGTGTAAGTAATATACCAATTAGTTTGGCTTCAAAGTAAGCACTATGAGGGTTGTGTTATGGGACACTAGGGCAACGGATAGAAATACATAATGTAATGATACATACCTAAGTTTCTATTTAGAAATATATTTAACTGCCATGAATTTGGTACTTACAAGCGTTTACCCCGCTGGGATCCGAAACCAGGACCTCAGAGTTGAAGACATCTTTAAAACCGGTTTGCATACCATTCACAACTCGAAGGTTTTCGGTGTATGGACCACGAGCACGTTATACAATTAATATTATATTTCAATCATTCAAATAAATCAGAAAAAAGGACTCTGTCACCACATAACATCAGGTGGGGTAGAGTCATTTGTCTACTTGGCTATAAAAAAAAGAAATAACATCTAAATTACCTAGACTGGGATCCCGGACCCCAGGGATAGTGATAACGGACAGCAATTCTGTTGCTATTCGACGAATAGAGCTTGTCAAGTTAAAAGATAGTCTTTTTACGAAAATGAGTGTGCATCCCTAACACTCTTTGGCGATAAATCAGCGGAAGAAGTGTACACACGAGCTGTTAGCTTTGTCATCAATTATTCTTCACGATACACCTTCGTCATACTTTCGACAGAATATCAGTACCCATAGCACGAACCATTATCGAATTCGAATAAATCTACAGAAAAGTTTTACTAGAAAAAAAAACATAACGAATTCGAATAGTTTGCAAACTGAAATGTCGATGTAAAATTTTGTATGGAAACTTGAACAGCAGCGGCACAAAGTGCGTAACGAGAACTAAAAATCAGTACACATTAGACAATGACATTTCGGATTCGCAAACGATACGAATTCGATATTGGTTCGTGCTAGGGGTACAGGTGTAGCAGTTACGCTGAAACTTATGACACAAAATCTTAGTGTCAAATTGAAGTTTCACAAAGGTAAAAGAGCACTACTTGCTACTAGGTATGAATTTGGATTCAAGTAAACAGACTTTTTTAAACACCTCTGCAAATTGGAAAAAGTAACAGAATAAAACTGCAAAAATAAAACTCACACGTTGCAAACTCGACATTTTTTTATAAATTAGCAATAAAGTAAATAGTGAGTTCAATACACTTCGTTACTATTTTCGAAAAATAAATAAATTAATGATCATTGTTATTCTAATGTCGGCACTTAACTTGGCTGTTTGTATTTGCTATTTGTAAACTTGACAACGGTATGTCTTTATCAAGCTTTATATGGAATGAAAAGGACAGACCTATGTCAAGTTTACAAATAGCAAACACGAAAGGCCAAGTAAAGTGCCGCCATAACACAATAATTATTTATGTACATCCAGCATAAAAATATGAGAAAATATTAATGTAATTTTAGAAATCACATTAATTAAGCACCATGCCGAAGCTTATCTTAAGGAATAGCCGTGCGTAGCCTCGTCCAAGTAAACTGGTATCGCAGCGAATCTTCTGCGGTTAGTCTTCTTTTTCTTGTCCTCTGGTAGAAAGTTCCAGATTATCAGATCCTCGTCCACTGTGGCAGTCGCTGGAAGAGTTGTTAAGTAAGTTTATACAATGCTTTAGCTATCTTCGAGTCCAAAAAGATCAGAGGAGCAACATCATGAGTATTCCACGCGAGCAAAGAAATTTAGCCTGAAAGAAGCCCTTTGCGTGTCTCTAGTTACACTTTGCCCGCTCACTTGTTCCTTTCCATCTATAACCCGGCACTCCAAGAGGGGTGAATAATTAACAATAATTAGACCAGCAAGGTGAGAATGACTGGTGTGGCAGCTAACATTGCTGTACCAGCTATCTTCGCGTCTGGACTCTTCCGTGACTTAACATCAGGTGGGGTGGAGTCATTTGTTGGACCTTTTTATAATAAAAACCTCAAAGTTTTATCTACACTTTGACAGAAAGAAGGAAAAAGTTTTTAAATGCCATCATACTGGTAATATATATATGCAATTAAGAACATATTTAAGAACATACCGATGTATAAACATAAGAGAAATAACAAGGAACTAACAGTACGGAATAAATATGAAAAGAAGAAGTGATTAAAATAATTTAGAAGATATAAGAACTCTGCCTCTGGTTAATGCTGTTATAGTGTAAAAGGATATTCTACACCATATCCACTGGTATTCTGGCAGGTCCTGGCCAAAGACTCGCTTTGGAACTATACTGGTTTAGGCTGCTTTTACATTTATAAGGGCTAACCCAATGCAGAAGTCATTTTCTGTAGCAAACATGTTGATAGGATTACTATGTACGTACGTGCAGCTTTTCTTCATTATTTTTTATTTGAATGGCCAGCAAACGTATGGCGCGCTTGATAGTTGACCACCATAGTCCATATATTCTTTCGATACCAGAATATCATTGCCTACCCGGGCCCTTTCCCCCACCCTACCCCGTTAAGCTCTGGTACCACCTTACACAGAAACGCAAAACTACGAAAGGGTTGTGTTATCTCAATGCAGTATAGTCAACAAGGCCGCAGATAGGCGTTTTAATCGGAGCAATAAGTCCGATATTCCAAATCACTCAGGATTAAAGTTGAAACGGCATTTCCACCTGTGTTGTGACATATTTTTTTTGTCGTTAAACAGCTGTCTTTTAATTCCGTGTTACATTTAGCCGTTGTCTCGACAGGCTGTCGTCAATAGTTTATCATTTAGATAGTAAGACATAATCTTTTGATGTAATGCATGAAGGAAAGAACATGGCAGGCGACGACAAGCACTTAATTAAAATTTACCCCATCTGGATCTGTGGCCAGATGCCAAATACCCCCAACTGCAATTTGTTTGCACAATATTTCTGTCGTCACATCACTTCAATTCAATTCATCATTTATTTCAGACCATGACGGATACATGGTTACGTCAATTCCTCAACTGTAATTTGTTAGCACGATATTTTTGTCGTCACGTCATGTTCTCGCTTTGAAAAGCGATGTTTTTATATTATCACTGCTATTTCTAGTAGGCTGATAGTGGACAGTTGGACATATGGAAAGGTGAACGTAGGTGTTTCCGATAAGTTGCAAGTTGTAAGTACTCTTAAAATAGATATTCGGTGCATTGTGAACTTTCCGGTTATGTCCAATTCCACGGCATTAGTGACAGTAAAACAGACAAAGATGACGATTAAGATATACCCAAAAACAATTGCAGTACAGGCGCCGTTTTACCAATAAAATTAACAAGTAAATGACACCATTATGTTGGGCGACTCAGGAGTCACCGTAGGCTAAGTTTTTGACGCTTGTAAGTCTTGCTATTTTCCTGGGATTTTTCACAAAGTGCTGCTTTCTGCTTATCTTGATCTATCTACCGTTTTATATATTTTGAAAATTAGGAGACTTCTACAGTATAGGAATGAACTGTATAGAATAAGAGACACAAGACATAGTGTAATACGCCCTATCTTATAGAAGACCGTAGTCAAATGAATACATATATTTTGTGGGTTGGATAAAGACGAATAAGATTAGTGCAGGGATCTTCGGGGATTCAGGCTAGCTAGTGCAGTTAACCTCTCAGTTGGACTACATTCATACTTGCTATCAGTTGGGAAGGAGTAACTCGATAGGCTTCTATTAAAATCTTGGCTTCAGTCTTCTGTGAGTTCACCTGATAATTTTTCAAATGTTCCTTACATTTGAAAAATGTTCCTTATATTTGAAAAATTATCAGGTGAACTCACAGAAGACTGAAGCCAAGATTTTAATAGAAGCCTATCGAGTTACTCCTTCCCAGATGTTCATCCTAATTTAATTGAATCACAATTCCCTTAAGGGGACTTTTTGTGATCACGATATGGTGGTAGGTTAGAGGTGAAATATACCCAGCTTAGTTCCATCAGGACTGAAGATCATAGTCCGGACCCTGTCGAGTTCGTTGCGGCCTTCGCCCCAGTGATCCACTACTGTGTCCGGGTTGCTCATCACCACTAGGTGTGAATTTGGCCTCTGGTAAGCTAAGGCGGGGTCTGTAAAGAGCATAATCGCGAAAACATGAAAATTGCTTGCATGCATAAAAGCATACCGGTGTTAAGTCTTAGCACATTACAGCAACTCGCGCAGCAACTCATTTAGGTTTACGTTAAATAAAGCGTTGAAATTTGCTGTATTGATATCGTGTTAAAAACTGTGAAATTTTCAATTAGACGAAATTCGCATGTCACACACGGCGTAACCATTTTCAAGGAGGCTATTTAACATTTCTTTTGCGCTGTATCTAAAGAGTAGTACACACATACATACACAACATATAAATTCATATTTCATCGAAGTTACGGGTCCAGCGAATGTACATGTACATTTTCTACATGGGATTGCCCTTACATATCTATGAAGTATAAAGGTGGCGTAGTGAGTCAGGGCCCGTACTCCCTACCTATTTTACAATAATTTATAAGGAAGACCTGTTCCCCTGTAGTGAGGACATTAATAGGCTGACGAACATATGTACGCACAAGCGTACCTGCGCCCCACAAACTTAACACCATTTCCCCAGAGCGTTGACTGAAGAGCATGGCGTCGAGGCAGTAGTTGTTCTTGTCGAAGCTAGTCTTAGACGTAGGCACTATATTTTGAAGATGTCGTGGACCTTCGCCGTAGGCTTGAACCACAGCGCGAGGCGGGTCTGCAGGCTCGAGGTCAGAGTGCCATTGCCGAGCAATGCGGTTGGACCCTGCTGCATCTACAGTCATTGGCATTCACCAATCCACACTGCGCCCATCTGGTGTCATGGTCCAATCTCTCTATTCCATCTATAAGAATGCCGTGTGCCCAGCAGTCGGGACATTAAAAGATCACCTGCATCCCACAAACTGAGCACCAACTCGCCAGTGTGGTGGCTGAAGAGCATGTCATCGAGGCAGTAGTTGCTCTTGTCGAGGCTGGTCTTCTGGATCTTGTTTGGAGGCGTGTCCCAAACCGCGAGGCAGTTCTGCAGGTTCGAGGTCCTAGCGCTAACATCTACGAGTACAGTCATTGGCATCCACCAATCCACACTGCCCCCATGTGGTGTCATAGTCCAATCTCTCTATTCCATCTATGAGGCTGCACTGTTCCCAGCAGTAGGGACATTAATAGACTGCCGGTATACCTGCATCCCACAAACTGAGCACCAGCTCGCCAGTGCGGTGGCTGAAGAGCATGGCATCGAGGCAGTAGTTGCTCTTATCGAGGCAGGTCTGTTGGACCTTGGCCTTGGGCGTGTCCCACAGCGCAAGACAGGTCTGCATGTTGGACGTCACTGCACCTACGCCCAATAGTGCGCTCCGCCACGGATGCCACGCGAGAGTCTGCGAACAGAATATACATTGGATCAGTCGTTACCTACTACCTAATAATTTAAACAATCTGTAAAGCATCCATTAAAGGTGTCAGTTTTGATTTCCCTTGGGGGTAGTTTGTTCAATGCATATATTTTTGATTACAGCGTGTATCGAAATTTGACATAGAGTACTTGTATACTAGTTTAGTTATATTTCATTTTATATTTATATAGAATAATAAAGCGGTCATGTCCCGATGTGATTCATCATCAGTGGCTGATATAACGTTAAGCCTAACGAACTCCCGTATCTGGAGCAATTAATGGTCTGTAATTACATCAAATGAATGGGCAAGAGTGTTGCCATTAATTTCGTGCGACCAGCAGAGCTTGTAACAAACTTTCTAGCCATATCTACCTTTTATTCTAAACAAATTACTTTAAATGAAAAATGTACTGAAAGACTGGCCATCAATACCTGTTAAAGTTATCGTGTAAGTAGAGAAATTGTACTTACTCATCTTTAAAGTACTCTAGATTCGAAAAGTCATTATGAAGTATAGCTTTTAGGAGTTGTGCTTAATAAAATTGATGAGGAGCAAACTCTAAAAACAAGAAATGTTACACAAATATTTTTTCCAAACAAAATTGATAGTATCTCTAAAATTCTTATTAAGGTAAGTGATGGTGTTCATTTCGTATTTCGATCGAAATTAAAACTTAACGCCTGTCAGAGTAACTTTATGTAGGTTTACCAACATATTTCCAGTTTTAACATCAAAATAATTTATGGTAACTAATTAATGGAATTTTAAAAATGAAAGTGAAGCAATAATTCATCGTGTCCGCATTATGTTGCTACAATAAGCGTTGATTGTATCAAACAGTAAAGGTTAATGTAACCAAAAGCTTAATTGTTAATGCTCGACCTGACTCATGAAAAATTTTAGCATCGCTTTTGATAGCATGAACCATGTTGAAAAAACTAAGAGATAGCGTCAATTCCTTCTTCATATTTTTATACGTGCCGTGCTCTTCGTATGATTTATCGGCATATGGGTTTCACACATTGACGTTCAAATAGATCATAATGATATCATCATTAGTCTATTAATCTTTCTACTACTAACGCACAAGTCATACCGATGAATGGTTGGTGGGCAGATTAGAGATGCCTTTTCTGTGCCGGTGACAAAATTTGGAACTACGATTTATTCACAGCATTTTGACATTTCTATGGCATAATTGTACACCGCTAGTGACAGTTCCGCCGGCACAAATAAGTTTGTGGCACTAAAGCTAAAGTTACGTTTATAAAAACAAGATGGTATTGGCATCCAATAACAGTACCAAGTCGCATCAGATGCGCGCATCCAAACTTAGCATCTTTATCGCGCATCCTTATTCTAAAAACGCCCACCTCTAGGGCAGATGAAGCCGGGAACAATGGCTAAAAGCGCCCTCAGAATCACGGAGAAACTCGAGAAAAAAATTAAGGTCACCAATCGTATATCAGCTATTGTGTCAGCTCAACTTCCACACTCTTCGGAGAGATGAGAGGGCTATCAAATTAGCGATTGGCATTCACACCATGTTTTGATGCGACATCTAGTACTAAGCAATTTCCAAATAACACTACCTTTTGATGGTGTTGTGTTTCTGCTGGTGAGTAGGGTTCCAGGGCTCAGCGGGGTCCCTACCCCGCTGAGCCCCTGGCTCGGATTCAGGCCTGCAAGGGGAGGATGGCTAGAACGGCACACATTCTGCCACATCATATATCGACTAGACCCCACTTACATGGACAGGTCAATTTATTGCATATCGTATAAAAAAAAACTTCTACGTCACCTTGATAGTTCAGTTTGAGTAAAGCTTTTGAAATGAGCCACTGTGGGTCAGTTTAGCACCATCATTTTGATGTAGTCGGGGGTATTTGCAAAAGGGTTGCACACCTCGGACGATACTTAAGCCACCTGCACGCGTATCTACATCTAACATCACCTTGTCAGTCTAGTTGGAGTTGAGTCTGGAGGTAGAACTCCAGCACGGGCCAGCTCAGCATTATCACCTCGACTGAGCTGACGGCGCACACGGCGACGTAGCGTGCGTCAGGTGACACTCGAGTTACCAACACCGCCGCTCTGGTGGAGTGCAGCCAGCTGATCAGCTTTTAAGTATACCTTACCTTGACAGTCGAGTTGGAGTTGAGTCTGGAGATAAACTCCAGCGCAGGCCAGCTCAGCATTATGACTTTGACGGAGGTTACAGCGCACACGGCGACGTAACGTGCGTCGGGTGACACTCGAGTCACCAACACGGCAGATCTGGTGGCACGCCGCCAGCTGATCAGCTGAGCGTCGCGGTCGTACGCGCCCACCATGCCTCGAGAACATCCCCTATTGGACACGAATACAATCATCAAAACTGCATCGTCCCTTTTCAAGGGGCGATCGCTTCTGACGAACTCTTAAAAGCTATTTTGACCAGAGAAACCTCATCGTGTATGTGTTTGGTACTTTAGTCGGTGAGAGTATAAAATCTTCATAGATACATTACAACCTGTAAGGTATCCCTATTGGTGGTTGCTAACGACTTCAGATACCGCCAAGGTTTAACGTAGATTCTGAAACACTCAGAAGCTTGAGTAATTTTGACCTTATGTAAAAAAGTGGACTTTGTATTTTTTTTTTTTTATAATTTGCAGAGATGATTATGCTTAACTTGCAGCCGATAGAGAATATATTTTATTAATAACCAAAACCATTATTGAATTCAAATAGTTTGTGAGTGCGAAATGTCAATGTCAAATTTTAATGCGCTTTATCATTGTCATTTTTTGGTTGATTGCCAATCAAAGAAAAAGTGTCTTTAATTTTTTATAAATCTATGTAAATGATGGACTAAATAGAATTTCGGTTAGTTTACCCCGTAATCACTACTATTAGACATACAATCAGTGCTGTTTTTGACCTATTGGAGGCCCTGGGCATATAAGGATAATGGGGCCCCTATGGTGATTTAACAGGAACTAGGGACTTTGTATTTGATCTGAGGGGGTCCCCTATCGATCACGGGGCCCTGGGCACTTGCCCAAAGTGCCTACTGGGAAAGACGGGTCTGCATACAATATAGCCCACACATTATTGAATAAAATGACTTACGTGATGAATGAGTTTCCCGTAGGACTCCAGTCTAAGGCTGTGATGGAGCAGTGCTCGTCGTCATTCGTGAGACACCTGCAGTAGTTTCTGTTCACGCACTTGCTTAGCAGATTGTTGTGGACCTCCACAGTCTTCACGTCAGTGCCTAGCTGTTTGGAATTAAAAGTAAGCCTCATTAAAATCACATAATCTTTCAGCTGATGAATGATATTGATTGTTTTATACCCTGGATGAACAAACTTTTCCTTATCGTGTCAATATTTACTATCACAATCTGTAGCAATTTCCAACACTCACACCAATTAGCCTTGCCCCAAAGTAAGCACTTGTGCTATTGGATACTAGGGTAACGGATAGAATACATATATAATTACCGAGACCTCTCGAGTAGGCGACACCTTGAAACCCGGCGTACAAACCACTCGGACCCATTCGCACCCGGGGTGGGTGAGAATTGGTAAATAGAGTTTGTAGATTAAATCAAACCATAGCTCAGCAGAGGGGTGAATACGCCCCAGAGTTTGCTGCAAAGTAAATTTTTAGGTACCAGGTTCGGCAGTGGGATGGTCCTTGTGAAAAATTGATAGTTTTTGGTGAGGACCTTTCGATTTCTGTTTGATTCTCAGGCCGGACTTCAACCATTCGAGGGCCGGAGATGGTCCGCGGGCTGTAGTTTGCCCATCTCTATATTATTGTCCATTTTAAGAGATGTGGATGGTGGACTCTCGGTCTTTTATATTAAAGAAGAGTGTAATAATAATATTTTTTTTTACTGGCTTGAACAATAATGTGATCTTAAACTAATGACCAGTATCATCTTTTAAGATTAAATAACCTGTGTCAGGAGGTACAGCTCTTCCTTAAAACAGATAAGTATAACAATCCAATAAAATCCAAACAAACCATGATCAAGATCTAATTAGTTTAGACGTTTGGTGCTTATGCTTACGTGACTGTAAATGTGGGTGTGAGTGTTTGTATTTTGTCTGTATGTGTGTGTGTGCGTGTTGGTGTAGTGTGTGTGCGTGCATATATGTTTTAGTGTGTGCAAGAACACAAGGCTCTGCTTAATAATATCTCGATTTCATCATATGTTTTAGCTGTTAACCATTTTATCAGTAGATCTTTGCATTGATAATAAATTTTATCTTATACATAAATATATTTATTAATGGTGTTGTATATGTATATAGATCGACTATTGAACTGACTACTAGCAAATAAAGTGTAATTTTACCGACTGGTTGCTAAGTCTCGTGTACGAAAAATAAAAGTAAGTAATTATGAATAAGACATTTTTATCGTCCACTTTATCACTCATCGCTTAGCACCTTATGAGAAGCGTTGAAATAAAAATTAATTGTCATTTAAATTCGTGGTCGTTAGTCACAGACAGGGTGAGCTGAACGCTTTACGTAATTTAATATTAAAAAAAAAAACATTTCCAATTACATTGACGACTAGCGGCCCGCCCTCGCTTCGCTTCGGTGTACAGCTGAAGTGTAGACTACAGTTTTTGTTCTCAGGCTTGTATTATACACAATGACATTCATCTATGATTCTTCTTATACCTGCATGCAAAGTCTCAGCCCGATCGGTTTAAAATTGACAAAGTTTCATTCCCTATTTTATCCCCTTGGGGGTAGTATTGAAATCCTTTCTTATTGGATGCCTACGGCATAACATCTACCTGCATGCCAAGTTTCAGCCCGATCCGTCCAGTGGTTTGGGCTGTGCGTTAATAGATCACTATGTCAGTCAGTCACTCACCTTTGAGTTTATATACGAGTATATAGAAGATGTACTCGTCGTTAAAGCACTAGAGTGGCATGCGAAACTAGCAGTATCGTAGCGTTGAATTGCAAGTGTTTTTGTAATAATTACATACAAGCTAAATATTTCCTAGGCAACACAGAAACGATTAATCAAATCAGGGGTTTCATGGTGTCGCCTACTCCAAAGGTCCCGGATCCGAAACCCAATAGAGGCAGATGTTTGTGTGATAATAATAATAATAATAATTTATTCATAAATGATTTGGTTTACAATAGTTAGTGGCAGGAGTCCCTTTTAAGCAAATCAATGCTTGTGCCAGGCGACTCCGCTCCTCCATTACACATCCATTTTTTATGTAAATTTCACAAATTTAAACATTTTTTTTATTATATTTAGAACTTAGATATAAGTTTGCCTATGCATGAATACGTGTATGTATAGTATGCATGTATGTTTGAGCTTGAGCATATGTGTGTGTTTAATAAGTCTTTGTGTGCGCATGTTTGTGTGATAAATATGAGCATTTGTACTCCAGCCATGGATGATTAATATGTATTTCTATATAAATATGCTTATATATTATATATGTATCAGTATATGTATTCTATCCGTTACCCTAGTATTTAAGGCTTTAGTGCTTACTTTGGGGCTAGGCTAATTGATGTGAGTGTTAGAAATATTTAATAAACAATTCCTTGGATTAGACTTGATTTTACTGTTGTTGCAATGCGTCAGCCATCGTCACTCTTAGCGGACCCTGTTTCGCGCGATCACTAGTTTGATATTATTACTGAAATTAAGAAGTTCTGCGACGAAATCTAATAGAATAAACTTACGATCAGCATTTCCCCCCGTGGATCGAACTTGCAGCACTGGATCTCGTTAAGTGCGAAACCTTCGCTGATGAGGCTCTGCGTGCGCCAGCTCCACTTATGGTAGTCCCTGCCCAGCGCAGCCACTAAGATGTTGTCATTACTCCAGTCCAGTAGCTCGGGAACTAAGAACAATATATTATCACATAAAGGGTTGGCAGAACAACAAAAGGCATTAGTGATAAGTTTTCTTAAGTCTTCACTTTGCTTAAAAAGTCACATTCGGAAATAACAGGATCTTTAAATTTTTGTTCAGTGGCGTAAATCAAGTAACTGACCTTGCACAAGTGCTAACCTTTAGCCTATAATTATTCCAGAAACGGTGTTTGTTGTATGTTTTTTAAAAAACAAAATTACATTGCCCTTATTTATAGAAATGGCTTTGTTATTGTTGACTAAGCATTTACTGCACGTGTGGTGCGACGACGAGCGATTGAACCAGTCACCCTCCGTAGTCCCCTTAGTTCGTACGTATACATTTTGTATCTAAGATAAGTTATATAAAGGTTGTGTAATATCCCGTGCTCAGTGAGAAATAAAACTACAGTGTTCCTTTTTATATGAGTTTATTATTTCGTATAGACCAACCCCGAAAGCTTTTACTATTCCAGCTTACTTAAGTTTAATTTTTGTAAAAGTACTTTTTACTGATTTAAGATTAAAATAAAAAAGGGAAAGGTACTGGTCAATATATAATTGCCAATAGGGTATTTGACAAGTTTAAGAAAACGATTTTACGTTATTGACTAATGTTTATGGAGTCCGTAAAAAGTGGATATTCGTCATTCTGTTGTGTATATTTCAGTAAAAATAACCAAATCAAAAACTCCATTTTCAAGTTGCCGTGAAAACGTTTCTCTGGACAATATGGCGTCTTACTAGTGTGTGACGTCACACGAATGTTATTAAAACGTCAAACGATACAATGTAATGTCACTTTAACCGGAAGTTTACTTGCGTGTGACGTCATTTTAGGCTCCGCCAATCCCAAGCGTTTTGGGTCACGTGACAATAAATAAGAAAACTATTATCTTTTTCGTTAGTTTTTAGTAAAATTATAAATATTTTTTTTGTAAAAATAGTAAAACCCAATATTCATTTTAAACACAGATGCCAGCAATTGGCACTTTATTTTTAAACACTGTCAAATACCCTATTCAATAATATCCTGTGAACAAGACCAGTAGTTTATTAATCCAGTATTTTTGGAGATTAAGTATTAACATTTTAGCCGTTTCTTATCTCTCTTAGGTTTCGATAAGCGCATTTTAAGTTACCGTAGCACGATTATCAGGTAACATAATGTAGTAAGTGTCAAATGCGCTGTTGGGTACTGAAAGGTTGTTTATTAGTACGAACAAAAACAAGAGCCAGAATTGTATCATGCAAATTGTACCATGTTACGCAAATTTTCAGAGGGAACAGTAATATAAAACACTCGACAATGGGTCAAGATTTCGTGCATTATTAGTTTCCGATTCGAAGGAAATTGAAAGTTATTAAAAAAGCAAAAATGATTTGTGAATTAAAAGCTTTGCGTTCTTTTTAAATTGACTTAAGGTTAATACTATAGAAAAAAAAGTTACAATTGTCAAAATTTTACACCCTTTATGTAAAGGGTGTAAAATTATAGTCAAATTTTTGTTTTACTATATATAGGAAAATAAAATTTGAGCATAATTTATGGTACGTCAAAGACGTCTATAGGGTTTAACTATAGCCAAATTTAAATACTTTAGTTAATACCACGTCAAGACATCCCGTGGTATAGCTAAACTTAGATGGCTATATTTAAACCCTATAGAGAAAAATAACAATTTGTGAAAATTTGACACATTTACTATATGTATTTATTTATATGTATTTGACGTGCCATAAATGATAGTCAAATTATATTATGATGAAACAACGCGGCCTTAGTCTATTACTTAGGCGTTGATTATTATTTATGTATTAATGGAAAACAAACGGCGTGTTAAAACAAAGGATAATACAAAATGATGTAGCATTTATAAGCCTTACACCGTTTTTATAAGTACAAAATAAAAACAATAATATTTTATCCAATCCACTCACGTGGCCGTAGATTAATTTTAAAACAAAATAAAAACATAGAAGTATAAAACTAAGCATAAAGTCATATCCACAGAGAAAATGATGATAATCTAAATTAAGTTTAATTATTATTTTTAAAATAAATACTGTTCACAATTTTTTTAAGTACATAGTTTGTCTCGCCAGAATCACGTCTACATCAGTTCAATAATTAGGGTTGAAGTTTTGAGTAACTCTATTAAAGTAGGAATTCTGTCTATAACTTGTCTTGTGTGGGAGTAGGCTGCGAGCTCGTGAAATTGACACCAGTCTGGGCTGGGCAAGCAACCTCCTCTTTACATAAGACAACAGTAAAAAATAATTCTACCTTTTGGAGATGTTGTATTTCAGCTGGTGGATAGGGTTCAAGGGCTCCGTGGATTAGAGGATGGTTCAGGCCGTCAAAGTGAGGATAGCGGATGCGGCACTGCCGCATCATCTATCTTCGTGATAGTACTTCACTGACAGATCATAGTTAGCGCGTTCGGCTGCGATCGTTGAAGTTAAGCAATTTTCGTAGTGGTCGGTCATTGGAAGGGTGACCAAAAATTTACTATCTCGAGCCCCTCCGTGCTTCGGAAGGCACGTTAAGCCGTTGGTCCCGGCTGCATCTGCAGTCGTTAGCACCCACCAATCCGCACTGGGCCCGCGTGGTGGGTCATGGCCCAATCTCCCTATTCTATCCATAGGGAAGGCCTGTGCCCCAGCAGTGGGGACATTAATAGGCTGATGATGATGATGATAAAAAAAACTCAGACCATTCTATCTATATGTCTATGGTATGAACTTACATTCAGCGAAACTGTACGAAGGGAGATCCAATACGCTATCGGCAGAGGAGAGGCACCTCCTCTTGCGTGGTACACAAGGCCAGCCCTGGGCAGGGGTGACGTCGCGATGACCAGCCCTGTACTCTTTTAAGGGCTCCAGCCCGAAAGCCTCATCCAGGTAATTTTTGTATCTCTTCCTGCGAAGGTTTTTTTGATGCTGGAAATGTGGAAAGGTTTTCTTTACTGTGTTAACAATATTAACTGGACCCGTATGGTAGATTCAGAATAGCCCATTATTTCTGTTTGTTTTGTCCATAGTGTTAAAACAGAGGGGATATTAAAAAAGCTGATGATGATGATAAAAACCGATCAAGTGCAATTTCGAACTTGCAAACGAATGGTTATAATACTGAAATGTAAATGGACCAAAACAACTTAACTTTGTGAAGTGAAACTTCTTTTCGGACGAGGTGAAAATGGAAACATCCGATGCAAAAGATGAAACGGAAATGTGTCACGAGCGTCACACGACATACAGGGTGTAAAAAAAACTATGACAAAGACTAAAACTACTAGACACGTGTATGCGTGCGTGAATGCGTGCGTGCGTGCCTGCGTGTGTGCGTGTGTGCGTCCGTGCGTGCGTGTGTGTGTGTGTGAATGAAAGTTGGAGGGTAAGTTGGCAAAAGCTGAAACGCTAAGAGCGTCACGAGCCTCACACGCGACAATATATATATATATATATATATATATATATATATATATATATATATGAGTGATGCGGGCACTGCTCCAGTCCCCTGTATGCTTTATGCACTGCCTAATGTTAGGTTATTAAAGAAAAGAAGGTTACAAGTGGTCCGTGCATACAATAAGCTTATTTTTTTTTAATTTATTATTCTAAAGTTTAGATTTCTGACAAACAGTGGTTCCGTTTGGCACCCATTGGGCAGGGAACCCTAAAAGTAAAAGAATTTATTTCGTGGTATTTAGTGTGTCACTTTGAATAAAGTCCTACACCCGATTCTAAGTTATAGAGGCTACGATTTCTGGTTTGAGTGCTCGTGACATGTCATAATTATAGTTAAAGATTATGCGATAGCCATAGTACCATTGCTTGATTAAAATCTTATGGCAGAGTGATTTATGATAGAATTATATCTATTTTGTTTGAACTTCCATTTTCAACACTATTACGGGTTTACTCTTTGCTTCCAAAATAGGAGTTTGAATCAAGTGAATGATAAAACTGTACTTTCTGGCTCAAGAATTAACATTTCACTATTTTTTTGCGAAAAGGTCTCTGTTAATTAAGTCTCTATGCAAAGTGTCAGTCTCAAGCGCACTGTTAGTTTTTCTGAAAAAGAAACATAAATAGTTATTTATGATAAAAGTGCGGTAAGATGGTTATTACAAATGAGAACGAATGTCGGAATTGTACCATAGTCACGAGTTTGTAATACCAATCCACACGAATGTCATACAACATTTTTCAACATATTTGCGAGAAAACATTATATACAGGGTGTTACAAAAATAGAAATAAAGCTTGAAGGGCGTTGAAGTACATCTATATGATGTAACTTTTTATAAAAAAAGTTATTTTTAATGATCCTCGAATTAGTGACATGTCTTAAAATGATCGATATTTTTATTAATCATTAAAAACAACTGTTTTTATAAAAAGTTTAAACTTCACGTAAATATTTTAAGAAAATTAGAGAAGACTCCTTATATGATGTACTTCAACGCTCTTCAAGCTTTATTTGTATTTTTGTAACACTCTGTATAATTTAAGTAATTAAGCAATTTTTTTCTAATAAGAAAATGGCGCGCATTTCCAAATCGCGCCATGTGCGGGTGGTGAAAATTAGAACTACATCTTTCGTCATAATGAATTTTTACCGCACGCTCAGCCGTATGGCCCGTAATTATGAATTTTCGAGCAATGTAAGTATACAACCTTCGTAAATGCATTTTTTGAGCAAATGTGTTGAAAACATTATGACTTTTTTTTTACAATGGCAGGACACGGTTTGTGCATTGCCATTGTCAAAGGTAGGGAAACATTTGTAGGATATGAATGCAGGTTGGCTCGGAATTTTGAGGATAGGATCAGGAGACAGAATGTGTATATAATATACTTATATAAAATACGGATAAATGGAAGATTATACTCTTATATTGTTTAAAATTATGAAGGATGCTATACATTTTTATTTAAAACTGTTAATATAAGTGAAGAGTAGGGTTATTACAATTATGACGTTTCTTAGTAAAATTATCAACATTTTGAGAAATTACATAGTTTTTTTATATTCTCTTTTTTAAGAAAGGCAAAAGGATCAAAGTGCATATAGATGTATTTTTATTTTATGATCTTTTTCATGTCAATATAACCATAAAATCATCGAGAATGCAAGACCATGGTGTTTCGGGGTTGACAAAGTCGGTTCTGTATTCAAGTTACATAAACAACCTAATAATAAGAAAAAAGTAGGTAAATGAAAAGAACAATATTATTTTTATACTAATCATTCTTATTATCATAAAAATAATCAAAAGCTTTTAACAGTTTTTCTAAGGGATTTAAGTGGTTAATTTTATTTTTGATGGCTGTATTTTTGATGACTATTAAAAACACAAGAAAAACTCTATCAAAAATCAATGTATATTTTCAAAATGATTTTATTTACTATAGTAAACTTTTCCATTTTATTTTTCTAAACAACTACCAGTGCATATTTGTGGACATTTTGTTTCACAATGTGGTTAACCTTTTGACAGAAAAAATGTGAAGTTGCAAGCAACAAAATTGTGAAGTTTCTACTCTTAGGCCCAGGAAGTACAGTAAGTATATGCCATATTTATCTTACCATTTATAGGCCAGAATATTAAAACAATCGAGTTTTGTAAGCTCAAAATAACTTATATAATTAATAAATAAAACGAATATTTCCAACACTCACACCAATTAGACTAGCCCCAAACTAAGCACTGTAAGGCTTGTGTTATTAAAACTAAGATTAAGACTTATAAATCTATTCATATAGAAATACATATTTAACATCCATGACTGGAGTACAAATGCTCGTATTCATCACATAAACATCTGCCCCCACCGAGATTAGAACCCGGGACCTCTCGAGTCGGTGACACCATGAAACCTGGCTTATAAACCACTCGCCCACGGAGATCGTCAAATAAAAAATGAGCTAAATATGGGAATGCCAATAGGGATGATGACTACTTTTTCTTCGTTTATCAGGTATCAAAAAGTATTGGACATGTATTTTATCTTTTTTCACATAATATAAACATTGCAGAGATAATATATTGATTTGAAAAGTCGCATGACGTCACGTTTGAGTACACTTATAAGTGAAAAGTCACTCAAAAGTGACGTCACGAGCCCCTTCTCCCAAACTTTGACGCGCTATAACTTTGTCATTTTTTGGTTGATTGCCCAAAGAAAAAATACGTTTCCATTATTTTTTGATCATTTAACTGACGACTAAATAGAATTTCGTTTACTGTACCCCGTCATCACCCCTATTATAGGTTCACGTACCCATATCCCGACGGTGTGCTCTTTGTCGACGTACAGCAAGCGCCTGCGCAATTCCGGAAAACTCTCGCGCAATGCCACGAACCGATCCGTGGGAGGGCGGTGTGAGTTCACCTGTAACGTCACGTGCCCAACAACTTTAATTAATGCCTTATACATTTGAAATAACTCATTCTCTTTAATGAGCCCCCAATTCAAGGAAAAGTAGACACGCATGTTTCAGGCGTAGACGTATGTTCGCATTTGAGCGAACTTCTAACAAGTGGCCGGAGTATTCTGAGAATCGTATTCGCCGGCGCAGTCCTCGTAAAATTTCCAGGAATTGCCCACGCGTTCACTGGCAAAACAGTCATTGTTATTGTTAATTCGTAACTAATTAGGGCGCCTGAACGCGTGCGATCGTACGTTACCTCCGTTGTAATTAGAAATATTGAAATAAACTAAACTTACACAACTGGAGCTCTATTTTTGAATCACTCGTCTTGCGTCGAACGCTCGATTTCTACTAAATTTCATTCGACATAATTAATTTCGTATTTTTGAATCGCTCGAGTGCAACGAATGGGTGAGACCACTCGCTGCATGGCGAATGGTGGAGGCGAATGATAGAATAATTGTCAATTTTTTTGTGCTATTAGACGAAGATAATCTATTATTGTCATGCTTTATGTGAAATGACAACGACAACTTTTTCTGCGTGAAATGAGTAAAATTTTATATTTCGTATTAAACAGGTAACACCGGTGACGAATGATTCAAAAATACGGAAAATCAGTATTATGCGACTTGAAAGTCAAATGTGACTTATGTCGCATTCGACGATACTATGTCAGACGATGGCGAGGAGCTCGATGGCGCAAGTCGGTTAGCGAGTTCGGCTGCGATCGTTGAAGTTAAGCAACTTTCGCAGTGGTTGGTCATTGTATGGGTGACCAAAAATTTACTATCTCGAGCTCCTCCGTGCTTCGGAAGGCACGTTAAGTCGTTGGTCCCGGCTGCATCTGCAGTCGTTAGCACCCACCAATCCGCACTGGGCCCGCGTGGAGGGTCATGTCTCAATCTCCCTATCCCATGCAAAGGGAAGGCCTGTGCCCTAGCAGTGGGGACATTAATAGGCTGATGATGATGATGATGTCAGACGAGTGATTCAAAAATAGAGCTCCTGGTCCACCTTGGACGTGAAGTTACTCGAACGAAAAACGCTCGCGTGTGCCCGCACTAAGATGGCTATTAGCAACCAGCGAAGAAAAATAAAATATAAATTTGTTTCCACAGTTGATCCAGCATAGCAGTCAATTCAAAAAAACCTGAATGAAAATTTTTCCATCTCACTAATTAATCTGCAATATGTTTGAAAGGGCAAAAGCGTTTTTTTTTCTAACAAAGAAATATCGTTTAATTTAGAAAGGTCAAAATGTCCAATTTATTGACTGTTCAACGATTGATTAGGTGAATAATTTATTGTGGCTACTAACTTAGGTAAGTTAATTAACGTAAAAACAATACTTAATTGTGCTGTCAATAAATAAAGTTTTGCAAAAGGTTACCTATTTTCGATAACTTTTATTGTTAAATAGGAATAATTAATGCAGTTTATGATTAACTTAGTTAAACACTAGCGGCCGCCCGCGACTTCGTACGCTTGGAGTTAGTTAGGAATAAAAGGTTCACTGCTCGTTCCCCGTAGGTGATAGCGTGGTAATATGTATCCTATATGTTGACTCGACTTCTTAATCATATTCGTGCAAAATTTGAAGTAAATCCATGCAGTAGTTTTTGAGTTTATCCCGGACATAAAGACAAACAGGCAAACAGACAAAAAATCTAAAAACTATATTTTTGGCTTCGGTATCGAGTGTAGATCACACCCCAAGTATTCTTTAAAAAAAATATTCAATGTACAGTTTTGACTTTCCTATTATTTGATTATATGTATAGACATGAGTGAATGAGGAGCTCGATGGCGCAGGTGGTTAGCGCGTTCGGCTGCGATGGCTGAAGTAAGCAACATTCGCAGGGGTCGGTCATTGGATGGGTGACCAAAAACATCGATCTCGAGTTCTTCCGTGCTTCGGAAGGCACGTTTAGCCGTTGGTCTCGGCTGCATCTGCAGTCGTTAACACCCGCTAATCCACACTGGGGCCGCGTGGTGGGTCATGGCCCAATCTCCCTATTCCATCCATAGGGAAGGCCTGTGCCCCAGCAGTGGGGACATTAATAGGCTGATGATGATGATGATAGATATGAGTAAACGAGTGCTTAAGCTTCGTAACGAAGAAGTGGAATATGATAAAAGTTTTTATATTTTTTGTCTTTATTTCAAATACCGAGCTAATTCTTGCGAGCTAAAGAAATACCAGTTAAGAACTTACATTTTTTCTTTTCATAACCCCGTCCATATCTTATTGAGATCACAAAATTAAGTAATATTTTTATTTAATATTTAAAATAAGTTTTATATCAGTTTACACTAATAGCATTTTTATCAATAAATAGTTCACTAACCGGCTGTCAAAATAAATACTAACCTACCCTCAAGTAGACTTTGTTTTTTTTGTAACAAAGCAAAAGAAACTGTATTTTGGCATCTTACTTTTTCATAAATAAATATTATAAATATTTCATAAATACGTCTTTGTCGATTGGAAAACCAGATTGCGATTGAAGGATATATATATATAAGTAAACTAGCTGACTCGGCGAACTTCGTACCGCCCAAAAGTAATAATTTGCAATAAATTAAAATTGCGACTATAATTTGAGATTTAAACTATCCTATCTCTCAAGTTGGATCGAACTGCACATGGTGTGCGAATTTTATTATAATCGGTTAAGTGGTTTAGGAGTCCATTGAGGACAAACATTGTGACACGAGATTTATATATATTAAGATTTAGAAGCTCAAACGATAATTAACTTGGGGTATTTAGAATTCTTAATGTTTCTAGGAAATATTTAATCGGGATAAAAATTATACAATATTATTCTGTAGACGAATTGGATCATATGCAATCCTGCTAATCACACTTATATTATAAAGGCGAAAGTTTGTGAGTGTGTATGTTTGTTGCTTCCTCACGTCTAAACGGCTGAAGTGATTTTAATAAAATTTGGTATGGAATCAGCCGACACCCTGGATTAACACATAGGCTACGTTTTACTTCGGGAAAATATCCATAATAAACCGCGGGTAACACCGCGGGGCACCGCTAGTACTTTAATAATTGTTAAAGTTGGTATGTTTGTTACTCAAGCACGCAAAAATTATTGAATTGATTTAGGTGACATTTGCTACGTATATATTTTATGACCTGAATAAACATATATATTTTTATATTCTGGAAAAAATGTTAGGCTCCTGTGAGATTCTCATAAAACCGAAGTTAACGAGGAGGAAGTCGCGGGCGGTCGTGCTTAATAATGATAATATAAATTAATCTAATCAGTTTTGAACCATTACCTACAGGTCCATTAAGAAGTCATTATTTGATAAAACTACAAGCATAATTTCATCCTTTTTTGTAATTCTTCATTTATATTTAAGAAATAATAAGTAGCCTACTTACCTCTCCATCCTCTTTATCTTCTTAACAAAATTATCAAAATCGGTTAAGTGGCTTTAGTAGTTAACTGACAGGCAAATGATAGTTATATAGGTGCGGTAAGTTGGTTATTACAAATGAGTAGATGAATGTTATCCCGAGACGAAGTCGTGGGCTTACCATAGTAATACCACAATGTAAATACCAATCCCGCACGAATGTCATACAATGTTGTATTGTTTTAAACTTTCATGGTCACTAACATTATAGATATTAACGGGATTGTTACCATGTACCTTGTTTTTTATGAGTCTCCGATCAGTTACTTACTTTTCAGTTACTCCGTGATCATGGCGCTTGCAACAGTGCCGAAATATCGGAGACTCATAAAAAACAAGGTACATGGTAACAATCCCGTTAATATCTATAATGTCATACAATGTTTTTCAACACATTTGCGAGACAGTAACTATACCTAATTTAAGTGGTGAAAAAACCTTTTTCCAATAAGAATATGGCGCGATTTCCAAAGTCGCCGGGTGGTGAAAATTAGAACCACATCTTTCCTCTCTTTTTCTTTTGAGTATAAAAGTGAGACAAAGGTATAGATTAAAAACGCTTCCAAGGTGGTTCGACTTAAATAAAAAAAAAGAGGCCAAGTGCGAGTCGGATTCGCCCACGAAGGGCTCCGTAGCAACAAGTAACATAATATGTATAAAAGTTCTTGTAGCTTGTTGTAACTTTGATCGATGTTTTAATAATAATGTAATTTTTTAAAGGTTAATGACGGTTTACGGTTTATGGCGTATTAAAAAAACTACTTACTAGATTTCGTTCAAAACAATTTTCGATGGAAGTTTGCATGGTAATGTACATTATATATTTTTTTTAGTTTTATCATTCTCTTATTTTAGAATTTACAGGGGTGTTTCACACATTTTACCACTTTGGAAATGTCTCTCGCGCATACTATTCAGTTAAGAAAATATGATATTAGAAACCTCAGCATAATTTTGAAGACCTATCCATAGATAACCCACACGTATGCGTTTGATAAAAAAAACATATTAAGTTTTAGTTCTAAGTATGGCGAGGCGAACCTTCAAAATATATTGTTTTTTTTTTTCTATTTTTGTGTGAAAATCTTAATGCGGTTCACAGAATACATTTACTATCCAAGTTTCAACAGAATAGTTATTATAGTTTCGGAAAAAAGTGGCTGTGACATACGGACGGACAGACAAGCTGACATGACGAATCCGTAAGGGAATATAAGGGTTCCGTTTTTTGCCATTTGGCTAAAAAACCGTACAAAGAAATTTGGTGACTTATTTCTTTGTCGCACTAACCGTAAATGGAATGCTCTGCCCGCTCACGTGTTCCCTCCCTCTTTCAACCTGGGATCCTTTAAAAGAGACGTGAAGAAGCAACATGCGGGCCGGCAGGGTGAGGATGGCTGGTATGGGGCAGGTGAAACTGCTGTATTCTATCTATCTTCGCGTCTAGACTTCACCTTCACTTAACATCAGGTGGGGTGGAGTAATTTGTTAGACCTACAACTCGAACAAAGTATAAAACCTCCGTAAATGCATTTTTTAAAATGTGTTGAAAAGTTACTTTTACATCATGAATATTATGATATCTATTAATAAGATTAGTATTTGCATTAGCCTAGTATATTTATCTACAAAACAAAAAA